GTTTAGGGTTTAGAGTTTAGGGTTTAAAGTTTGGGGTTTAGGGTTTAGGGTTTGGGGTTTAGGGTTTAGGGTTTGGGGTTTAGGGTTTGGGGTTTGGGGTTTAGGGTTTAGGGTTTGGGGTTTAGGGTTTGATCCAAGACGGGTTTAGTATGGTCTAATGTTTAGATTTGTTTTTGAGCTCCTTTTTCCAACCACCGAATCCCTACCACAGGTAGAAGGCCAAGGGTTTAGGGTTTAGAGTTTAGGGTTTAGAGGGTGAAGGCACGAAAAACCGACAGCCTGAAATCGGATCTCAAACTTTGTGGCACAGACTGCGCCCCAAAAGCTATACTCCGCAACCTGCCTGGCACTCCAAACCCTGAACTCTGAACCCTAAACCCTAAACCTTAAACCCTAAACCCTAAGTATCACACTCACCCGGACGTTGAAATGCAGTGCAGAAGCGGGTGAGTCCACCTGTGAACCAGGGCAGCTAGGAGCAGACCTGGGCCATTGCTCAGATAGCTCCGGACCCCCAGATCCTAAACCCGGAACCCTAAACCCTAGACACTGAACCCTAAACCCTGAAGGGTGTAGGGTTTAGGGTTTAGGGCCTGAGCCCTAAACCCTGCATGAACCCTAAACCCTAAAGCGTAAACCCTAAAGCCCTTCACACCAAACCGTAAACACGAGCAGACCTGTCCCATGGCTCAGATGAAGAACGCACAGAGCCCACTGCTGTACTATAGGGGCCTTAATGATTTTCCATTTGGTTTTGGGGCATATTTTGCAATAACTATTTCACGAGGAAGAACCCCAAAAATAGTTTTGGTAGTTTTTTAGGGCCCTATAGTACGATCTTAACCTCAGGAAATGAAAATCGAATACTCCCCAAGCTACTAACCTAGCTTGCTACTATCCAAACCCAAGTGCCTAATTATTAGGTCCGTTGGACCCTTAGAGGAATAGATAGAATGGGGTCGTTTAGGTTCCTTCAGGGGTTTCTATAAGAGGCCTGTTGAAGGGATTTATCGGGCATTATTGGGTTTATTTAAACTATAGAGGCCTTGGTGAGTAGAACAAGGCATTCGAGCACATTATAGTATAGTCTATAGTCATACAGAGGAATTCCAACAAATGAAAGCGATTATTCAAGCTTCTACATTACACCTTAAATGAGGAAACTTCCTTAATCACCATAGTCAACGGGTATTGGGCTGGCTTCCGAAGGTCCAATTAATTACGCAGAAACTTGTCTTTCGGAAATGTCATGTATGTACTCAGGGTAGCTTTTGCCTTGAAGCTCAAAGACACCCCTAAACCGTGAACCCCAACACCAATTCCTTAAGCCTAAAAGTCCCTTGCACTGCCCCTCTAAACCCACTGAACCCTCTGCCGTAAGTCCTGGTCCTGACCCGCAAAAATACAACTTTACTCCAAAGCTAAACCCAAAAGCTGGACCCTAAACTCATCACCCGAACTGTGCCAAGCAGCCGGCCAGGGCCATTATTGCATCGAAAGCTACGATGCCCAGGAGGAGGAAGGTGGTGGCGCAGAGGATCGAAAGCACCCAAAGGCACAGGAGGAAAGGAACTCCAAAGACACCCCTGCAAACGCTGGCGGTGGGCAGGGGTTCTTAACAAGCCTTCAAGTTTAGGGCGCTGGAGGTGTTCGCTGGAATTGCGAGCCTCCCTTGCAAGCATTTGAGGGTTGTTCAAACAAGTGGGTCCTCTCCAGCCATTCGAACAAAGCTCTATAACCCTACACGTCCTAAAAAATCAGATGGTACTCTGAGTTTACGCTTTTAGGGCTTGGCAGTTCGGGCTTTGTTTTAGGATTCTCTGCTTGTGCCCCCTGAGGCTCCAAACCCCGAATCCGCACAAACCACAGGGGCCTTCGCAGCAGGTTGTCGCAACGGTGTATGTGGCAGGTGCCTTGGGACGCATCGGCCGAGAGCGCCAGCGCTACACCTCGCGGGTCGAAATTTCCTAACATACCCTAGTTGTTGAGTTCCCTGGCCCAAAACTCGCAACCATTCGCTTAAGGTAGGGTTATGTATACATACAAAAACAGCGCCAAACTCCTTCATCGCAGCTAAGAAGCAGTGGGAGTAAAATGAAGGCAGACAGTAAACATCCTACAAGTAGTCCGGAGAATCAGAGTTAATGCAACGTTAGGGCTGTTCTGTGTGGCTTTGGTATTTGCGGAATTGAGGTCTTGTAACAGGGGCCTGAATAAATAAACTAAGGTGTTGGGGCATACTCTGGCATATTTGATTCCGGAACCCGAAGGAATATTAAGTCTAATCAATGACATTTGTATGTTCAACCCTTGTAGCACTGCTGCTTGTAATGCCTTTGCTGTGAAGTGGCCGGCGGGTTCAGGCCTTTCAGGGAAGGCCATGTTCAAACTAGGGATATCTTCCCCATGGGTTCTAGCAGGGTTTGTTTCTTAAAACACATGCGAAGTTTACACAAATAAATCAAATGTGTCTATGCTATATATATATATATACATACATACATACATACATACATACATACATACATACATACATACATACATACATACATAGCACCCTACCCCTGTTTTTGATAAAAGCTCTGATCTGGCAAAGCCTTGTGAGTCGCACAAAGTGAGCTGCCGGTCATTCTGCACCTCTACGAGGTAGGTCTTATTGTCGTCCTGGGTCGGTGCTTTAGGGTTTAGACTCTAAACCCTAAACCCTAAACCTGGTTTAGAGTTTAGGGTCCTGGGTCGGGATGGGCTTTGTGCGGATTTGTAGAGGGTCCCTCATGCTTGGAAATGGGGTTGAAGGTATTTTCAAGGTAGCACTGTATACTAAGGAGCCCTGAGGAATATTATTTGTATCAGTAATTATTTAGGCTTCTTTTTTTAAGGTGCTTTCAGGTTGTTGCGGGAAGGGCTTTTTGGCCACGCATTTGGTGCTTGGGCAGCCTGGGCCCAAAGGGAAGTCAAAGTTTGCTTAATGAAGGGGGCTTAATGGTCAGAATAGGGTTTTGGGGTTATACTATGATTATGGTAAGGAACCTCCAAAATGGTGTAGGTTATTACTCAGGCCCCTATATTAGAAGGCGTGAGCAGGATTGGAAGCCTAGACGCGAGAAGCGGGTGCCCGGTGTCTTTGAACGAAACTCTGGTAGGCCGCAGTAGCCAATGACGTCCACGGGTGGACAGGGACAGGATACCATCCTTCAACTGAACGTCCTCGACAGGCATGGAACAGCATGCCAAGTGTGAGAGTACCTTGGCGGTCTTTCAGTGCCTGCAAGGAAAGTTCCTGCATTCTGTTTTCCGCTCGGTTGCTATACTAACGCAGACACCTTGACAGCAACAGGTGCTACACGCGCTGAGTTACGGCAAAGAACAGGAATGACAGCAGGAAGAAAATGGCAGAGGCCAACACGTTCATGAAGGATGCACTGCAGCGGGTTCTATCTGCTGTCACAGCCATCCGCCACCAGAAGGCTTTACAGGGAAGGCATCGACCACTGCCAGGAGCACTGGCATAGGTGTTTCCCTCGCAGGTGTTGCAGTAGCCTAGGATCCCAGCTCACGAAAAACATGCTCGAAAGCTTGCCTCTCATGCGCAGTAGCTTCAATCGGGTTTTAGGGTATCAGACATGCAAACGAGACTTACTTTTGGGGGCTTAGGTGGAGATGATATGATTTAGGCCTTAGAAATTTCGTGGTTTGGGCATCAAGACTCTGAAGCTTCGTTGCCGGGGGACGCTGCAGGCTGTGCTTTTCAATAAAGGATCCTGGATCACAGGGCTCACAGCGCAGGACGGATCCCTGCACGTACCTCGGTGTAGGATACAGGCTTTGAGGCACATACCTGGGGTGTAGGATAAGGTTTAGGATTTACGGTATGGGGCATGTCGTCAAATTTCTGGCAATAGCAGCAGTCCCGGAAGCAGTGACAGCAGTACTCATCGTAGTAGTAGCATTAGTCGTCGTCGTGGTAGTAGTCGTAGTAGTAGCAGCAGGAGTAGTACTAGTAGTAGTAGTAGGAGGAGGAGGAGGAGGAAGAGGAGGAGTAGCAGTCGTAGTAGTATGGTGGTGGTGCTGGTGGTGGTGGTGGTGGTGGTGGTGGTGGGTGCGGTTGTGGTGGCGGTGGTGATGGTGGTGGTGGTGCTGTGCTGCTGCTGCTGATGCTGCTGCTGATGCCGCCGCTGCTGCTGCCGGTGCCGGTGCTGGTTTTGGTGCTGACGCTGATGATGGTGATGGTGATGGTGACGAAGAAAAAGATGACTGGTGGTGGTGGTGGTGGTGGTGGTGGTGGTGGTGGTGGTGGTGGTGATGTTGGTGGTGGTGGTGGTGGTGGTGGTAGGTGGCGGTGGTGGTGGGTGGCGGTGGTGGGCGGTGGTGCTGGTGGTGGTGCTGG